CAACTGCATATACTGAGAATGACTTTATATATTAAGCGACTACTATATTCTCAAGGGTGTACGTGTGCATGAGAGTATATGTGTGTGTGTATGTGCGTGTGCACGCATGTGTGTGCGTTTATGTGCGTGTGTATGTATATGTGTGCGTGAGCGTGCATGTATGTGTGTGACCTCAGATTTCCAGAAGCCGATGGTTTAGTACACACGAAGGGAATTCAGTGTGCAAGAGGGTTATTCGAGGACGCACTGATGAGGAATAACGGGCAGAGGGTGGGGCCGAGCTGAGCAGGGCCTGTGGAGAGGAGGAAGAGTGGACACGGAGGGAGCTCTCCAGACCACAGCCCGGCTCCGAGAACGCATACGCTCCGCCAGAGGGAGGTCTGGGGCAGACACTGCCCGTTAGTGAGGTCCTGCACTGGACGGGAACCGTCTAGTCTGACCCTACTGCAGGGCGTGAACTGTGAGAACGTCGTGGTGCGTCCTGAAGGAGCAGCAGCGCAGGCAGCCGGCCATCCACATTTCTGACAGCAGACGCTGTCATCGGAAAAGAGCCAAATGGTGCCCCTTCCGCGGCTGTCTCAAACCTCCCAACAACTACCTGTATTCGAAATACTAAGTCAAATATATTTTGTCCATTTCTCATGTCTAAATACTAATTGTTTATCTTTTTTTTGGAGAAAGTTTTTGCTATAGGATATGTTTGCTTGTCAGAAAGACAGAGAGAGACAGAGAGACAGAAAGTGAGAAATCACACTTCCGGGGGGGATGGCCATGCTGCAATCTCTTCTCCTCCATTCTCCTCTCAGGATCTTTGGCACACACGCACACATGCCCAACATAAGCCACCGGGTCTGGGACTCGAACCGTGGTTGACTACATGCGAGTCTAGTGACATCGCCATTACGCTATCTGCTAGTCCCCTATTTATCTTTTACACCACTTAATTTAGCTATTTGAAAAGGAAGATTCCATATTATTTTTCATTTCTGAAATTTTAGTATCTGCAAAAAGTGCCGTAGCTATTCAGTAAGTAATTACGGAATGAATGAATGAGCGAACCAATTGATTCATCAATTGATGAAGGGTTTTGAGTGAAGAAGTGAAGATTGGAATCGATCTTCAGAAAGGATATTCTGAAATTGCTGTAACTCAGTGGGGCAGAAAGACCACTGACTCTCAAATCTGACAGTCTTAGAGCTGAATCATATTTCGAACTGCATTTTAGGTTTGTATCCTGGGTCAAATAACCTGGCCTTCCTGAGCCTCAGTTGTTTCAGGAATAAATGAGATTAACGCCAATTTCTTGACTTTTTGTAAGGGTTAAAAGGATGATGTTCATGATGGCTACTGCAGAACCTGTAGTGGGAGAGAACTTCTAAAACTGTTGCTTTCTTTCCTCCTTTTCCTTTAAAACTGAATTAATTGCCTGTATATCTACTGAAGAGAGTGAATTCATTTTCCCATGATGCACTGTGAGGGTTAAGGAGGAAGGGTAAGGTCAGCATTGATTTCCACGGATCAATTTTGACATAGTAACAGTCTAATATATTGTCTACATATTAATATATGTCTAATACGGTGTCTATAATGTGATAGTACAGTACTAATATGGTGTCTATAACGTAACAGTACAGCACTAATATGGTGTCTATAACGTAATAGTACAGCACTAATACAGTGTCTATAATGTAACAGCACAGCACTAATACGGCGTCTATAACGTAATAGCACAGCACTAATACGGTGTCTATAACGTAATAGCACAGCACTAATACGGTGTCTGTAACGTAATAGTACAGCACTAATATGGTGTCTATAACGTAACAGTACAGAAGTAATACGGTGTCTATAACGTAACAGTACAGCACTAATACGGTGTCTATAACGTGATAGCACAGCACTAATACGGCGTCTATAACGTAATAGCATAGCACTAATATGGTGTCTATAACGTAATAGCACAGCACTAATACGGCGTTTATAACGTAATAGCACAGCACTAATACGGTGTCTGTAACGTAATAGTACAGCACTAATATGGTGTCTATAACGTAACAGTACAGAAGTAATACGGTGTCTATAACGTAACAGTACAGCACTAATACGGTGTCTATAACGTGATAGCACAGCACTAATACGGCGTCTATAACGTAATAGTACAGCACTAATACGGTGTCTATAACGTAATGGCACAGCACTAATATAGTGTCTACAACATAATAGTACAGAACTAATATAGTGTCTATAACATAAAGTACAGTACTAATATATTGTCTTTAAACCTCTTAGTAACTTCTTTATGAATAACTCTACACGGTAGGCATTATTGCTATTCCCATTTTACAGAGGAGAAAACAGGCTTAGGATCTGGGTCATCAGAAACGGTTTGACATATATATTTTTTTATGTACAATTAAGCTTAAACCCTGTTTTAGTGTGAAATAATAAGATTGAGACCCAAGTCTGTGTTGAGTCTGAACTCCTAATCACTGTGATGTCTCTCCATGGCGGACGAGCAATTGGGAGACCCTCGCAAAGACTGAACCTGATCTCAGTTTCCCTAAGAATATCCACAAGATTCCAAGAAGTAGCAAGAAGGTAATGCCACCAGGAGAGAAGCGCTAGGATTTAAGAGCAATGGGCCCCCTTTTTGTTAGGTTATTCTGCCCTCTACTGGTCGTTTCTTTATACTTTATACTCTTGGGTCAATTAAAATGCCAAATATACACCATTTTAGGTCTTCCTGGTGAAATCAATCACGTCAAGTAAGAGTACTTTGTAATGTGTGTAATTATATAAGTATGTGACAATTTTCAAGATCATACGTGTGTGTGTGTGCTCATCCACAGAGCTATAAAACCCAGCTCAATACCTGTCACAGAATAAGCATTAAGCAGTAATTACTTGAATGAATTATTTGAAGTGCATACACTGGAATAACACTGAAAAAGAGATGCCGACGAGAACATAGAGTTGAAGTACTATGAGAAATAATGGCGTAATTACAAGCACAGCACTAATACGGTGTCTGTAACGTAATAGTACAGCACTAATATGGTGTCTATAACGTAACAGTACAGAAGTAATACGGTGTCTATAACGTAACAGTACAGCACTAATACGGTGTCTATAACGTGATAGCACAGCAGTAATACGGTGTCTATAACGTGATAGCACAGCACTAATACGGCGTCTATAACGTGATAGTACAGCACTTACACGGTGTCTATAACGTGATAGCACAGCACTAATACGGCGTCTATAACGTAATAGCACAGCACTAATACGGTGTCTATAACGTGATAGCACAGCACTAATACGGCGTCTATAACGTAATAGCATAGCACTAATATGGTGTCTATAACGTAATAGCACAGCACTAATACGGCGTTTATAACGTAATAGCACAGCACTAATACGGTGTCTATAACGTGATAGCACAGCACTAATACGGCGTCTATAACGTAATAGTACAGCACTAATACGGTGTCTATAACGTAATGGCACAGCACTAATATAGTGTCTACAACATAATAGTACAGAACTAATATAGTGTCTATAACATAAAGTACAGTACTAATATATTGTCTTTAAACCTCTTAGTAACTTCTTTATGAATAACTCTACACGGTAGGCATTATTGCTATTCCCATTTTACAGAGGAGAAAACAGGCTTAGGATCTGGGTCATCAGAAACGGTTTGACATATATATTTTTTTATGTACAATTAAGCTTAAACCCTGTTTTAGTGTGAAATAATAAGATTGAGACCCAAGTCTGTGTTGAGTCTGAACTCCTAATCACTGTGATGTCTCTCCATGGCGGACGAGCAATTGGGAGACCCTCGCAAAGACTGAACCTGATCTCAGTTTCCCTAAGAATATCCACAAGATTCCAAGAAGTAGCAAGAAGGTAATGCCACCAGGAGAGAAGCGCTAGGATTTAAGAGCAATGGGCCCCCTTTTTGTTAGGTTATTCTGCCCTCTACTGGTCGTTTCTTTATACTTTATACTCTTGGGTCAATTAAAATGCCAAATATACACCATTTTAGGTCTTCCTGGTGAAATCAATCACGTCAAGTAAGAGTACTTTGTAATGTGTGTAATTATATAAGTATGTGACAATTTTCAAGATCATACGTGTGTGTGTGTGCTCATCCACAGAGCTATAAAACCCAGCTCAATACCTGTCACAGAATAAGCATTAAGCAGTAATTACTTGAATGAATTATTTGAAGTGCATACACTGGAATAACACTGAAAAAGAGATGCCGACGAGAACATAGAGTTGAAGTACTATGAGAAATAATGGCGTAATTACAAGGAGCTTTGTAGCGTAGCATGGTGAGAGGCAGTGACTATTATCACTGTAGTTTTACCAGTCAGACAAAGGCACGGAGTTTACATACCTTCACCAAGGAGTTCTTACCAAATACGTGCCCAGCAGGTGTTCTGGCCACAGAGGAAGACCGGTCTTTCTGATCATTACGGGACCCCGAGTCTTCGCGCAGCATAGCTTTGATGGTTCCAGGACAACTCGGCACAGCCCTGCCCTCAGGCTCTAGGAGGGTAAAGACCTGAAGCCATCTTAAATGAATTATGAGGTCATAGATGGTCCAGACAGTGTGGAAATGAAGTGAGACTTTGTGTTTGCTCAGGACTAATGTGCATAGACGATGGGAGGAAAGATTACAGTGGGAATTCATCCTGACTATGAAGGCCTTGCCATGAGCATGCCACTCAGACACATGGTTTATAAATATCATTTCATTTAACTCTCAGGATACAAGTTTCACCAATATTTTCAGATGAAGAAGCCAAGGCTCAAAATTGGCTCATAAGCTGAATCATTGGTCCTTATGTTTGTCTTGGGTGCTGAGAAAGGATCATCCCATGTGCCATGGTTGGAAGCCAGAAATGTAAGCCCATGAAAAAGGTCAGCAGGTGGCATGGTGGTCAAGGTGTTGGACTCCCACGTGGTCGACTGCAGTTCGAGTCTTGGACCAGGTGGCTTGATTTCTCACTCTGTCTCTCGCTGGTGAGTCCGTGTGCTCTTTAGCAAATTAAAACTTAATAATAACAAATAAAAATAAATAATTCTAAAGAAAGAAAAGAAAGAAGGTATCAAGGTGTTAGATCTCCAGCTTGTTGAATTTTAGATTCCAAACAAATGCGTTAAAGTGTGCATTAGTACAACGAAATGTCTAACCTGGCACGTCTCGAAGTTCGATGTGCAGAGAACTTGGGCATTTGTTAAAACGCAGATTTCGATTCAGTAGGTCTAGAGTGGAGCCTGAACTATGGTAACAGACTCCCAGGCAATATCAATTCTGGCTCATGAACTGCACTTTAGTAACAAGAGTCAAGATTGCCTCTCAGCACGTAGTGTGGCATCTGGCAGAGTTGGTGCTTGGTGCTTCCTGACTGAATTAACTGATCCATTGATCCACTGATTCACCGATAATGACATTTCTGTAATTTAAATCATGGGTTGACACTGAGTCCTCTTTGGATCTTAAAATCAAATAACAAAGGATTGCTTTTCTTTATTTCTCCCTCTAGACAGTCACACTGAGATCCTTAATTTTCTATTTCTTTTCAATAAAAGTTATCAGCCTGATGAGAGAAAGTATGATTTCACAAGGCTGAGATATTTCAGAGGAAACACTTCTAAGTAAGAATCTCTTAAAATATTGCTGAAACATTCTGATATGCAGAAATTTTCTCACTTGTTTCCTTCTAGTCTTCCTTTTCTCTTCACTTCCCTTTCTTCTTAACAAAAAATAAATATGAAGGGCTGACAGGTTGCATACTCGTTAAGGCATTGGACTCCCACATGGCCAATCATGGTTCAAGTCCTGGACTTGGCAATTTGCTTTCTCACTTTTTTTCTTTCTTGCTCTGTGATCAAATTTAAAAAGTAATGCTGATGATAAATAAAATTGTGTATAATAATTCTTTAAAAATATTTTAAAAATAAACATAAAAATCCTGGGTGTTTTTGCTATCTTTGGGGTGGGGTGTGTGTGTGTGCGTGTGTGTGTGTGTGTGTGTGTGTGTGTGTTTTATATTTTCTTTTTCTATTAGTGGGACTTTTCAACACATAATCATTCTTCAAAAGGCCATAGCAGGTGGGAGAGATGCTAGATCTCCTTTCTCCACGCTCTCTGTCCAAACCCCCAAAGAAAAAAAGAATTATTTTGGAAGTGATTCTGGCAACCTCTTCACTGCAGTGTCAACTAACCTACTATTTCAGGACTAGGTTTGCGAATTCGTCTTGCAGATCAGCAAAACCGGAAGGCTATCCGTGGGCACGCAGCCCTAATGAGCACTTTATTACCTTCCGGGCGTGCTCCCCAGCCTGCCCACTTAGCATTTTGCTGAACACTGCTTGGAGCTAATGAGATCGTCTCAACCTCGGCTGGTCATTACCAAGGCTTGGCTTCCCAGGTCCTCTGGGGAGGCAGAAAGTGCCCGTCGTAACTGCATCTGCTTTTCTGAGCTTTCAACATGGTTTCATAGCTTTCGAAATCTAACTAAAGGGCATCTCGGAAACTAAATACAGATCTTAATATATATATATAAATGTATCCTACATCTTGAAGTATCAGAATATATATAGTATATATATTCCATTTTACATATTAAATAGGAATTAGATAAACATTTATATGTTATATATGCAAAAGATATATTAATGCATAAATATATGTACAAAAGATACGTATGTAATATATATCAGCTATATCTAATTAGATATATATTTTATATGTTAAATATATATTATATATACAAAAAAGACATATGTGTATTAATAAGAACTTTATTGAAACCTGTTTTATGAAGGGGTAGCTTGAGTCACAGTTGACAAAGATGATAATTGGACTGGTAGTACCGGTTGGGTTCAACACGATTTCTTTTTTTCTTTTAGAGATTTTTGCTATAGGGCGCATGTACTCACTGGAGAGACAGTGAGAGACAGCAAGACAGAATATGAGAAATTATCTCCCAGTGGGTATGCCCATGCCACAATCCTTTCTCCATTCTCCTCTAGGGACCTTGGCATGCACACACACGTGATTGGTGTGAGGTTTTTTTTTTTTTTTAATTACTTTATGTAATTTTATTTATTTATTTTAATTTGAACAGAGAGGGATAGAATGAGAAAGAGAGAGAAAGTGAGAAAGTAAGCTGCCAAGTCCAGAACTCAAACTGCCATCAGCCATGTGGGAGTCCAACACCCTGAACCACCACACCACCTGCTGGCCACCTGCTGGCCCTCTGAGTGACTTTTAAGTTGCTTAGTCCAGACTTGAAACATGGTTGACTATGTGGGAGTCCAGCGACATAACTAATATGCCATCCTCTGGTCCCAAGCATGACTTTTTCTAATCAACCACAGAAGAGTCATCGGAAGTTTTCCACTATAATATTGGGTCTTTGGAAAAGTCATGTGTTTTCCGGTTTTTCTGTGCAAAAATGCATCATGACTTTTCCAACAACCCAATAGTACTGGCTCAGTCATGTTACTTTCAACACCTTGATTAATGCTAATCTTCAAAGCCAGGCTTCATGATACCCATTTGGCTTTTCTTAAAGCCTTGTGGTGAGCATTCCACGAAAAGAAGCACATCTGCAAAATGCCACGACATCTTTTGGTTATTTTTTAATGCTATTTTACATTTAGGTTCTGACTACACCCTTAGTCTTAGAAAGGCAGGGTAACCTCAGCAGCTACCGGAAAGCATCACTATCAACACCAAAAATTAATAGCAAACAGCGTTCATGGTTAGCTGGGATTCAGAAAAACGTGCACTCCATGGTGGGTGGGCTTTGCTTGCAATTTTGTTGCTGAAGGAGTGTCTTCTCTCTGGGCCTCAGAAACGCTGCCCCGAGACCCATCTTTCTCTTCTTCTCATGTTATCCTTTATCTCTTTCATCCAGAGCCTTGCCTCTTTTTATCCTAGGCCCCATGGTCATTTTAATTCTACCTGATTTTCTTCTGGTTTGAGCTAGAGAAGACTTCAGATTCATGTGGGCTGTGAGAAAGTCAAGTCAGAACAAGCCGCCTGACTTCAGAAGCAATCACTTACATAAGTAATAATCAGAATGCTTATAGTGCCGATAAACTTTAGGATCTCATTACATTAAAAAAAATCTGTCTTCCTCTGTCTCTGTCTTCATACATCTCAATGTTTCTCTACTTTCTTCTGTTTCCATTTTTGCTTCAGTCTCCATTTCTACCTCTCTGTCTCTCTCACCTCACCAAACACAGGATGATAGAAAATAAAGACAACTTCGTCATGTTCATGTAACCACAAACCAGAAGGCACAATTAGCAGTGACATAACAGTGACTGCTGCTACAATAACAGGTGGCACCAAGTGAAAAAACACAGTAAAGAAACTATGAATGAAGGCAATATACAAAAGCACCTGATCTCAAAAGTAACAAGAGGTTCCTGTCTCCTAACACCCTGTGTTCAAGTACAATTCTAGAAGAAGAAAGTCTTAGATTTTTATTTTACTAATAAAGTGGCAAAAGATTTTTGGCTTGTCCAAGATTTCGTCAGGTTTCCAGACCTTCCGCACACTTCATGTAAAACCCCGTTTTAGGCATGTCTGCCTCAATCCAGCAATAACACCCACCCTCGATACTGTAGCAGCTTCTTCCTCTACCACCCCCCGTGATGTCTTATCACTCTGCCTGTCTGCAGCAAGAATCTCAGGAACCCTTTTAGGTCGGTTTAGCCAGAATCCTCCTTTTCCATAACATTTCCTATTAGTGATGGGCATCCGCTGGCCCCCGCTCTGACTGTCAGTGGCCACTTACTCTGTACTTAGGATTGAGCCCCGTCTGTCTCCTCCACTGGAAGGCCGCATTGCCGTGGCCCCTATACCTGTGGTGATGGTCCTGAATAAAAGCTCTTGACATGCCCTGGCAACCGGCACTATCACTTTTTCCACTGACAGTTCCCAGCAGTCTACACCGGCAAAATTAACACGTCTTAACGATGGAAATCTGCCATGAGCAGCTAGTTGTTTCCCCAGTGAGAGGTTTTCCCATTTCTTTCTTTTTGTTGACACTAAAAAAAATGATTTTGCCAAACTTTCCAGAGAATGTTTGTCTCACAAATGCCTTCCAGTAAGTCCCATTTCTTTAACAGTTAAGTCTCTTTCCCCCCTTTGTAAAATTCGTAGGTGACCCGTCACTTGTATTGGCGTCCCCTCTGGTGCTGAGATAATTAGGCTCACTATATTGCTGTGCTGTCCTTTATTTCCCAGTGTCCTTTTCGGTTATATTGGGCCATGTGATCAGCTCTGGCCAATGGCCTGAGAGCAACGTGATCGTAAAATCTGGTGTAACCTCCTCTACCCCTTTCTCCGCTGCGGCGACTTTCGGGGCTATATACTCCAGATGGAGACTCAAGATGAAAAGAGGTACAAGATGAAAGACAGCTGTTGAACCCCGTCAAACTGTGATACAAGTAAGAAATAAACTTTCATTGTATTAAGCCACTGGGACTTCAGGGCTTCGCCATTGCAGCAGTTGGTATTCATTAAGTGGCTGATGCAGCTCTATGACAAAGCAGGTTCAAACGCCCAGACATGTGGGTAAGGGCACATCTGCGCATCTCGCCAGCGTTTCACACATCAAATTGGAGGACCGAGGCTGCCGCATAAATAATTTAAATTCACTGCTCAATTATTTCCAAGAGATTGCTTTCATAATGTAAATTTCCCACAGTGACCATAATTATATTTTTGCTGTTGCTTAGGATGTTTTAATTGTGAAAGTGGTCATCCAGTCTGAGCAGACCCCCGATAGCGGATGTTACCTGATTACTTTCCATTTCCAGCATGGACGGTCTGGCAGCGTCCAGTGGATGTCAAATATGTGCTCCATGAATGGATGATTGAATGAACAAGTAAGTCCATGTTGAATATCTATCTCATTCCCAGAACTGGCAATATGCCAATGACTCGTTTCCTCCCGAGACAGATAGCCACGTGTTGAAGGGACTACAATATACAGTGGAGGAAACGGTTGCAGAATTAGAAGTTCTGAGTCACAATTTCAACTCCCAGCACTAGCAGCAAGACTTCCAGCAAGATTTCTCTCCTCTTTCAACCTGTTTTCCACTCCTCGAAAAAAAAAAAAAAAAAAAGTGTGTGTGTGTAAAATCTGGATCAGTGAGAGCTCCAGATTCGTGTGCACTGAGAGTTAAAAAAGAAAAAAAAAAACCCTACATGCTTATATATAGGATGTTTTATTGGGTCGTTGTGAAAATTAAATGAGTGAAAGTACTGAATAGAACTTTGATATTTCATCAGGAACAAGCTTTCTGGCTAAATATCAGTTACTGGCCTGGCACTGTAGTCTAGTGTTAAGGGATCCAGGTCCCACATGGGTGACTGTAGTTCAAATCCTGGTCCTAGAAGCTTGAAGAACAGGCCAGTCACGTGGGTGTGCCCCAAATCCCAGCAGGATGGAAGATGGAAGAAGGGATTACAATATAACCACACCACGTCGGCAGATATTTTCCCCCTCTCCTTGCTCTGTCCCTGGCCCTGTGACAAAAGAAAAGTTTACATCTTCCACTCAGAGAAGTCACCACCTTGCCCCAGAGGAGAAAATCAGTACTCCAGTCTCAGATGCTGTATGACACATGACCACCAGGTGGCACCATTGATTTAATAGCAACCACTTTCTGGGAATAAAGGGAAAAAGTGTAAATTCTGAAACTAAAATGTATATTTATCTAGTGTGATCACAAAACAGAGTTGCTAAAAACTATAAGATATGAGTGTTATAATCTCTAGAACGGTGCTCTGCAGCTTTTTATTTTTATTGTTTTCTAATACTTAAGAAATAATCCATATTGACACACTAGAGTTATTATTATGAGGAGAATAATACTGGAAATGAAAACGTTTTTGTTCCTCTAGCCCAAAGAAGTTTATCAGAGCATTATCAGGCTCTCACGGAAAGCCAAGAAAAGTTTCGTGTTCCTTTTCTAGGAAGAAAAGACAATTTGACTAGTGCAAAGTTTCAGACTCTTCCCATAAAGGTGGATCCTGGATGGTAGGAAGAAGAGTCCCCTCTGCCTCTGGGAAGCTAAGCAGTACAGCCCCCAAGGCCTGCCTTTCCTCTAGCTCCAGCTCCTGGGACTTCCCCAGAGGGGACTACCCCTTAGGAATCTCTCACTTCCCTAACAGCCCTCCCTTAGGGGGCCCAGACCTCCCCACTCTCCTAGCCTCTGTCCCATCCTGCGTGACCCTCCTCTTCTACTGTGTCTTCCACCAGGTTGACAGTCATTTGGTTCCTGCCGCTTCTCTGCGCTGTGTGAGCAGTGGGAGCTCCAGATTCCTGTGCACTGAGAATTAAAATAAGAAAAAGGAAAAAAAAATAAAACCTAAATATTTTAGGGCCAGCAGATGGCATGGCAGTTAAGCCACTGGGTCCCACATAGCCACCTCTGTGATTTAGGCCCCAGACACGGTTGAGGGTGCCCAAAAACCCTGAGAGGAGAATGAAGAAGAAGGGACTGTGGTAGGGCCATCCTCCCTGGGGATACTTTTTCAGTTTCTCTCTCTTCTGTCTCTCTCCAGTGAGCATACACATTGTATAGCAAAAATTACAAAACAAACAAAACTAAATATTTTAAACATCTAAAAAGTGTGGAATATACTACACCTGTGAACTTACCACCTCCACTTAACAAATATGATCATTTCATCATAGTTTTCTCCAGCTCTTTTTTAAAAAAGTGACATTACAACAGTACAAACCACTGAAGTCTCCACTCACAGACCTCCTTCCTCCTTCCCTTGCTGGAGATAGCTATGGCCAGGTCTCTCACAGGAGCATTCGATTCCATGACTACTTGTTTATGTAACAGCTGTGAAGGTCATTCTGAGCTACGCGCATACTTTTTCTGCTTTGGAAATGCAAAAAATGACACAGACGAGGCAAATTCACTCTCATTTCTTATTCTTCTCTCCCTACACCCAGAACCATGCTGTCTGGCCCCATCTTTCTTGCTTTTCTTTCTTAGGACGCTGGCTTAGAAAAGAGCATGCTATTAACACTCAAAGGCGTGGGGTTGGAGTCTCAGATTTGCTGCGAACGAGCTAGAAAACCTTGGGCGAATCACATATGGACTCTGAGCACTACCAAGTTATCAGTGTAAAATATTTGAAATAATACCATGTCCACGGGGATCATTGATTGAATCTATCAGGACATGTAATAAATTTTCATTGAAACTGAAAAGTATCAACTCCTAGTATTCGGCACTAGAAGTGCAAACTCAAAATAGATGCTATCATTAAAATGAACAAACAAAAATATCCTTATCTTGAGTGAGAAAAATAAGTACATTAAAAACAATTATCCGATATGATTACTATTATAATTGAAATGTTTACACACTGCTAAGAGAGCTCAAGAAAGGAAAATGTTAGTTCTGCCTTGTTGCTGTTATTGTTTATTTTCTATTTTTTCTTTCTTTTTTTTCCTTTTCTTCAGTGACTGTTTGAATTTTGATACATAAATATGATAGGGGAAATAAAGAAAAGAGAAATTAACATTTATCTGGCACTTGCCAGATGCTGGGTACTGAACACATCAAATCTTATTCCCTTTCCTAACTTTGTATTTTCTTTTTTTTTAAATCTAGCACTTACACTATGCTTGGTATTAAGAAAATGCTATTTCTTCCCTGTTTTCTAGATAAGGAAATTGAGACTCAAGAGAGCAAAGACAAGGCATTCAAGGTCACCTGGCAAGAAAGGGCTCCCGGTAGGTCCTTGGCTCCTCCCAAGGCTCCTTGTGGGTCAGGTCATGAGGGTGGGGGAAATACAGGCTGGTAGGAGCAACCTCCACTGAGTCTCTTCTGAACCAAGCTATCTGAGCAAAGCTCTTCCAAGTGAAAAGTGGCCTTTATAACTGACCATCTTCACTAGCATCTGGCAGTGTGGCCTCCTCCACGCCTCCTCCCTGAAGGTCTGAGCTACTCTGATTCCTAAGGTCCCACTCTCTTGGTTTTCCAGTGTCTCTCTGTGCACATCCTCTCAGCCTCCACAGAAGCCCACAGCCTGCAGGTGGTACATCCAGAGTCCATCTTGATCCACTGCTACTTCTACTTTGCACACTTTACTGCAGGCCCAGGGAGCTTTTCCCATGGTTTCAACCCCAGTCTACACAGCAGGCACTGTTTGCCTGGCTCCCTGCCTCTTACTCAGCAGTTTTTATCATCAGGGAGGACTGCTCTGCGCCTCGGAGATTTGGACCCCAACCTCACTGTCTCCTGCCGTTTCCTTCATAATGCTAGTGATGATGCTAAATTATGAAATTTTATGTGGATACTTGTTTAGGATTTTTCTCCTTTCCAAACACTGATTGTGGAGAAGATAACTATTTGTTGGCTTGATCCTGTGTGTCTATTGTCTAGCACAGATACACATAGCAAGAGCTAAACAAATACTTGTGGAAAGACAGACAGGCAGTAGCAAACTTTCAAACATTCCTTTTTGGTTTATACCCGTGTCTCTTTAATGAGCTCTAAGCCCATGTGCTGAGCTCACTACATTCATGTCAGAGAGCACATGCGTAAGAGAAATGCTTGCTGCTACCCCTGACTCCCCTGTATCCTCCAACTGGCTGAATATTGACAGGGTTTCTGCTGTCCATGTGGATGATCAGTAGCCTCAATTTTTCTCTTAGTGTCTTACGCGGTATTTTGCAAATCTATCACTTTCATTCCACATAAAGCCCCACTTCTGCCATCTGCATCACTTCCAATAATGTTTATGCAAAGCTACCCTTTTAATTTAGATTTTAAACCTCATGTATTTGTAGACCACCTTCAAAATTCTTTGCATTGTGTTCATTCTATCTCTACAACAATTGTACCATTGTTCATGTAGTTAAAGAATTCAGTTTTAAATATAGCTGAAATTTTGCTGAGCACTAATATAAATGAAAACATTGACTTCAGGCCCAGCCATGGGCAGGACACTGTTGCTCAGGAGCCTGAGGCCACATGGGAGACACAGGTTTGCCTCCTGTCCCACTCCAGAAAGTTGGACATTATAGTCCCAGCTACTCGGAAGGCTGTAGTCCCAGCTTGTAGTCCCAGTTTGTAGTCCCAGCTACTCGGAAGGCTGAGGCAAAAATATCATGCCATAGTAAAACCATGTCTGATAAAACAAAACAAAACAGCATATTGCACACAGGTGTTGATTTTGTATGTAGTCATAATTTTCTACTATGCAATTAATATATAATTACTATTAAAAGTATCCATTTAAATGCCACCAAAAATCTCATCGTCTCACACTATGGCTGTGTTATGTGTAACTCAGCCTCCAAGAGGTGGCATGGTCCTTTTTGTGTGTATGTTGTTAATATTCTATGTCATTTCTAATGGAGTCACTATAGCCAACTCTGTGGCATGTGTGATTTTAAAGAAGAAAAAAACTGAGGTTAGAAGGGGTAAGCAGTGGGACCAGCAATAAGTGTAATGGCTATGTCGTTGGACTCCCATGTAGTCAACCGTGGTTCGAGTCCCGGACCCGGCATCTTAAACTCATACCAGGCGCATGTGTATTTGTGCCCAAGATCCCGAGAGGAGAATGGAGGGGAAGGCATTGCAGCGTGGCCATCCTGCCTAGGGGGTGATTTCTTGCTTTCTGTCTCTCTCTGTCTTTCTGGCAAGAGCACGCACTCTGTAGCAAAAACCTCTCCAAAAAAAAAAGAAAAAGTAGTAGTAAGCAGTGAGCTCAGCTGCTAAGTATGGCTGGATAAGAAATAGACTATAGGAGGCAGATCCTACCTTGACCTGGCTCTGCTGTCAGCCTTGTTTTCCTCTATCCTGCTCACTCAGATTCCTAGTAGCGCACCTTAGTACAACGCATCAGGTCACACCAGTGTGCCACTTTCCCCCGTGTTCTGTCTTCATATTCACCACAACCTGGCCCATGCTCTGTGCTTCAGGAATCCTGACGGGCTGGTTTGAGTGCATACCCTTGAGGTGACTTCTGTCTTCTTCGTTTTCTGCTAATGGTGCCCTCTGGGGTTAAAGCTTCTTTTTTTGCTGTTCTTCCTCTATTTGTTTTTACCTCTCTTTTCCCTTTAATACTCATTGGTTTGTCACAAAAGTCATGATCATTCTTGCATAGAATAACAGAAAACTACATCATGACTTTCCAACAACTCAATACATGCAACCTATCAACCTGTAAGATACCCTCTCTGAGCACCCCTGTGTATGGGTTGCTGGTCTCTCTTCTCTGGAACCCTAAGGCTGCATACTCACTGCTATGAACCTTACCACATCATATTAGAACTACTTTCTGGGCCTCCATCCACCTCCCTAAAGACTGTCTCCTGCAGAGGGAAATTGTAAGTTATTCATCTCTCTGTCCCGCAAACTTAGTCTAGAACCACATTCGATGAATCATAATTTTAATATATAAACAGATTCTCTCTGTTTAATGAAAAACCTGATGAAAATAGCAACTTGGATTTATCTTTCTGTTAGTTTCTCACATAAAATGTAAGTATCTGTTGAAATATAAATATTTAGAAATTTGCTATATGTGGGAAATTATTTTGCTATTCTGATCTAATTTAAAGCTGGATTATTTTATGAAGGAATTTACTTGGTTTTCAGAGGCAATATCAAACCTTTTTAAAAATAGAATTGGGTGACCTTTTATGTAAACAGTATAATTCTTTAGACCTTTCTTAAAGAAGTCTTCCTTAAGGAATCTGACTGTTCAGCTTTCTGAGAGACATGTTGCTTGTTCCTACATTGCCAGGAGAAAGCACCTTCCCAAATTCTGATTGTTCAGGTCTTGGATTTTTGTCCTGTGCTCTATAACTCTTTTTAAATTTGCCCCTTGATAATCTTTCCTCCTTCTCCAAATATGACTTTGCTGTAGGGAGACAAGGACAACCCTCTTTCTCCAAGAGATAACCCTGGATCTGCACTGCACGATGAGATAGAAGTCATAACGTATTCAGGGTACTTGTTACTAAAGTGTGCATACTAGGCCATCTTTGCTGACTTCCGCACAGTTCACTGGTGACATACATGCTAATGTATGGGTGGTGTGTTCCTGATTCATGTTCTTGATTTTGAATCATGGTATTTTTGCAATAATTTTGGTCATTATTGAATCCCCTTTTTTCCTGTATATGTGCTTTACTCTACCGGATGAAACATCCAAACCTAGGTATTTTGAAAATGTCAGTTCTTCCCTGTTTCATCCTCCTCAAACTACCTCAGTTGGAACCAGTTCCCTCTTATGAATAGTAATCAAGGGCATCGTTTCTTTTATCTTCTCTCCTTCCCTCTCCTCTCTCTCCTCTTCTCTCCTCTCCTCTCTTCTCCTTCTGTTCTTTTCTTTTCTTCTCTTTTCTTTCTTTCTTTCTTCTCTCTTTCTCTCCTCTCTTCTCCTCTTCTTCCTCTCCTCTCCGCCTCTCCTTTTCTTCTCCTCTGTTTCCTTTTTATTCTTGCAAAGAGAGTTCACAAACTTACCAAAGAGACACAGAAAAATAGAAAGAGAGAAAGGGAGAAACAGAAAACACCATCAATGGGGTATGGTCATGTCTCATTCCCTTCTCTATTTCACCATCTTGTTGGAATTTGGGGCACACATGCACACATGCCCAGTGTGTTTTTCTAGGATTCAGTTTATGCTGCTCTTATCTCTTCTCATTTCTTGCCTGACATCAGAACCCCTTGAAGCCCAACATGGAAGTTTGAGTCTTGCCTCCAAGTTCTACTGCTTACATCCCAACCCTGTTACATATTCTGAGCAAGATTTGTGTTTATCATATCCTGGTATGTGACCACTAGGCAAGAAGACCTTTGAAGGCTGGGAAGGACCTGAATTCTCTTATGTGAAGTCATATTATGGCTATCTGATATATTAGGTCATCAGGAAAGTCATAACTTTTTCTAAGTTTTCTTATGCAAAAATGTGTCGTGACTTTCCCGATGACCCCGTGAGCATATGGCATAGAACTGGTTCCGAGCCATTGCTTATTAAACGAATAGGTAGTAAATGAAGAACTCCTTTCCTTTGCCATAGTGCTTGCTTTTACCCTCTTACTTGCTCCCTTCCTTCATCCAACTCAAACTCATTCTCTGGGATTCCAGGCAGATACATCTCCTTGTGTATCTTCCCAAGGTCATTCCTCCTCTCCCTTGGATGTGGCTCTCTCTTCTGAAATCTCATAATGCCTTTGCAGAAATTGCTTTCTCACGCCACACTGTAATTCTCTCTTTATTCGTCTCTCTTGCCCTCTTAAAGAGTTGTGGACTCTCTGAAGGTGGTGATTTGAACTATTCTAACTTTTCTATGTTAGGTACTGGCCAGGAAAATATATAATGTTTAAGCAATACTATCCTTAGAAAGTGGGAAGTCAGTGTCAACCACAAAGATGAACTGAAATACCACTATCTGTCTCGAAGCGCAGTTGAAAAGAGAAGGAATGACATAAGTAAAGGACCGAGATTATAAGATCCGCCAGTCCTTGGGGTCTGAAAATGCCTTCACAAAGCCTCCATTGATTTCCAGAAACTTGATGGGATGAAGGTGATAATTAACTATGTTCAAACAAAGACAGCAAGGGAAATGAAACATCTTTAAATATATTCAAAGCCAAATGCCAGGTAGGGATATTGGGTAAGTAATTCCCCTAGAGAGATAACTGCTATTGCTAAAGAGTATTTGCATGAGGAAGTGAATAAAAGATTACGTCTTAGTGAAAGAATGTGCTACAATGCT